CGTTCATGCTCTTTATAGACATTAAAAAACAACTCTGAGTCGCCGTAGCAGATGCTGCCTCAAAGTCAGTGAAAAGACATCCTCGGGAAGAAACGAGCCATTTTACAGCTGGCGGTCACCAACAAAGGTGGGCTGCAAAACAGACTCATGATGTTGGCCAGTAAGTTGCAGCAAACCACCAGCGTTTAGCGCTGTCCAGTAGGATGAGTATTCGCCAGATGTCGAATTGAAAACCAAACCTGTATCAAGCTCCTAAGAGCGTGGAACTTCATTTCGGGACTATCAAGTACCGACAGCCAGCCATACGCCTATGCACCCAATATCTTTCGGCGACACCAGAAATGGATCAGAGTGATTTAAAAATTAAGAGTTCGAAGCGATTTAGGTAAGAGGACTAGGCATGGAACAGAAGGTCTTGGACGAAACCTTGACGGAACATACAGAGAGGAAGCAGAATTCGACGAAATAATTGGCGAGGTAACCCCTTCTGGCCAGCATACACCCATATGTTACTTTTAAAGAAGTGTGAATAGGATAAAATTGACGGCGGAAGATTGTTAGAGGCAGGCAGGTAGAAGAGTGGAAAAGGTCCAGTGACGATGTCAAATTGAGTTTGGCTCGGACTTCATAGAGCCTGAGGCTTATGTTGGCAAAGAACGCCAACTCGCACATGAGTAGATGAATACTGAGCCCGATAAGATCTTTCACAATTTGGTGCTTGATATGGTTTGAGGCACTGGCATTATAACGGGACCATCGAACATACACCAACACCAGGAAGGGAAGATTACTGGGCATGTTTTGCTTTTTTTACCACTTGGAGGCTTACAGCACGTCACAGAAAGTTAATAACCCATTGAAGAAGTATCATCAACAAAGGCAAGGGGGGCTGGAGCATAAGTCCTTTCCGGCTTGAATATAATTTGTAATTAAACACCCTATAAATGTCAACAGGCCGGTGAAACGCAAGCTACAGGTCTAAGCACAATTGGATAAATGTTCTATCGTTGAGTCAAGCTAGCGTATGAACAAATGACGACTGAAAGTCGACCAGCCCTATTCGTTGTATCTTTTTACTACGCACTATCAACCGCCTGAGAGGGCTTTAGACGGACTCAAAGGCAACCCGGATAGATTAGATGTCATCAGGCCCCAGCATGACAATAAGAGTATTTTTCCACGACAACCACATTTCCCAATGATCAATCCTCCTCTTCATAAACCGGCATAACGACTATCTAGCCAAACAGACCTGATCTGTCGCAACTAAGTAGCACACAGCGCGAGAGACATGATTCCACCGACAGGATGAAGGGCATTAGCCCATGAAAGCAGTACATGATTCTCATGGGCGTGCTGAGACAGTTCAACTGGAGGGGACCATCAACTCAAAATCTGGCTCGGCACAGTTCATAAAGACATGGAATTCGCTCTTAAACCTTCAATATTCAGTCACCGCCACTAAACGAGAGAATGGATCAAACCGTCCAGACCCGCTGCCCACGATCGTTAGGCATAGACGTGTACAATCCGCGACGTCCACGGCTAGATCAGGCATGATCATAGCTTTACCAAGTACGAGCAAGTGCACGTAATAAGGCAATTTAACTGGAGCAAGACGTCGGTATTTAAGAGTACGCATTTCAAACCTGCATAAAAGCAAAGAGTGCGTAAGCTACTGACACTGTGCATCAAGAGCATGATAGAACTTTTCAATGAACAGCTGTACCGGCAGGTTGGTAGCCCAGTTCTGGAGGATATTTTCACCTCTTGGGGAAGAACAATGAGGAAGCATGGAAAAACCTGATTTATAGATGGGTATCTGAGATATTTACTGTATTAAATGACCCGAGATAAGGCGAAATGTTGGTTGATACTATGAACAAGTCATACCCGGAGATCACGCTCACGACTGAACACAAAAGAAACAAAGAGCTGGCTTGCTTGGATATTATCGTGCACGGGGAAGCGACACGAATCAAGTAGTCTGTTCATCAGACGCCCAGTGTGAATGGACTGTGGCAGTATTTCAGGAGCTTCGGTCGAATAAAAATAAAAATTGACTTAAATTTGTACCTGTTTAGTAACGCTGTTGACATTTTGCTGATAGAATGGATGACGATAAAATTATTCAAGGTAACTCACATAGCAAAGGGTAGGCGGAGAAACTCCTTGAAAAGTATCACCACTCACATGGAAAATCAAAGAAATGATTGGTTCATAAAAACCAGGCAGCGTTCACCTCCAACTCGAAAGAGATAAAGGGGAATGCGCCACCTCTGAGGTCGCATTTGTGAGCTCTACAAGGACCACCAGTTATATCTTGCCTTCGCTTATGGGCTTGCAAATAACTGTGAATACAAGCACGCTGGAAGTGCTGTAAGACAGCCGACAACTCGATCGGTTAAACGAATACTATTGTGGTCATCAACAGGAAAAAACAAGGCATCTGATAGCTGTATCGAAAAGTGCCTGTTGCGAATGGATCATCCTGCAGATCCCGATTCAACATCTGAGATCACCGAATGCGCGGGAACAGCCCGTCCCGACGTAGAATGCATGGCCGTGGCAAGTGGCACAGGGAAACTACAATTATACAGCGGCTAGGTCACATGACCAGCCTCGCACTGCCCTTGTGGCAAGTCCTTTTCCTTCTGTCTTCGGACTCAAAAATCCTAGAAGTGTCCTACTGTATGTCAGTTTGATGACATGTGCTGCTCAGCACTTATCGTTTCTGATTTGTTCTAGCCTTCTCTGCAATAGTTGGTGCCCTACTCTCTCGATTACAATGTCCCTTTACATGTCTTACTGCTTTCCCACTCTGTTTATCACCTATTGTGACGTATTTACCTTACACAGTTCAAGCAGCAGTGTCCCTTAACGTCTAAGTAGTAGGACACCGTTCTCAGGTCGTTGGTCGCTTAACACCACATGATATTTTGTACACAATGCACTGTAGTTAGTCAGGAACTTTCAATTAACAAGACCCCTTGACGTACAGATATAAGAGACCCCTCGAAGTTAAAATCTTCGAATTTTCTTCCTGCATAAAAGCAGTAAAACGCAATGCTACAAGCTAGAACGCTTTCAGGATGCCTAAGATGTTGCTATCACCATCAAGAATAAGTCTGTCGTAGGATCACGATTGATTAAGACGTTGTAAACAGTAGTATGCGGGACTGAGTAACGAAAGTGGTGCGGAGTCAATAAAGTGAATCTTTAATGAAGTTGCATATGCCGGATGCATAATTAGTTCTCTACATCATTTCGTTTGGGTTCGGTGAGCCCCATCACAAAATATACTATACTGATGTAAAATAAGATTATTATGCGAAAATTGCCAGGAACAGTGGCCGAAGATGAGGAAGATCAAAATCGTCTCTTCCAACAACTGGACGCTTGGCGAGATTCCATACAATGACAGCAAGGTAGATGTTATGATTCAGGCGGATGGACAAGGGTACAGAAAACTGATAGCAACGCTAGTATGGAATCGGGAAATAAAAACTTTCGCCCAGCAAAACAGCAGAAACGAAAGAAGGGACATGGTGCAAGAGTGCAGGTAATAACTCTCATGTTACCTCAGTGTATATCCCTGCTTTCATCTTCGAGTAAACAGATTCTGCAAGAAGAAGGAAAACCTGTTCGACATTGGCACCGGTCAAAGCAGAGGTTTCAACGTATTGATAGTCCCCGAGCCTCTGGGCTAGACACTCCGCTTCTAATGCAGGCACCTGAATAGTGTCAAAGGGAAATGTGCGATTAGGTCTTGCACAAGCCTTAGAGGACTTCCCTTAGGGATACCTCTGAATATAATGACTGATTCCCTTGGATACAGACTGCGTTTGACTAAGAAATAGATTTGCAGAACAGTGAACAACTGCCCATATGAGGAATACTCGATTTATATTACATGAATATTCGCACGGGGTAAATTGTTAATAATAAAGAATCATCCAGTAAGAGTAAGTGAATATATTCACAGAGAGTTAAAATGGTAAGAACAAGTAAACAGACCTCTCGCGCTGCCGACAGATCGGACTTCTGTCCAACTAAAACGAAGCTTGGTGAGCGACATTTCATGTTCATTGCAGCATCTTCGAACCATCCAGAGATGTGAGAGAAAGATTCGCGGTTGGTAATGTCAAAAACCAACAAGGCACCGACGGCATTACGATAATAAGATCGGGTAATTGATCTAAAGAATAAAAACAAAACGCATCTGACTTGAATTTTTCCTGGCCAGCTGTGTCCCACAACTGCAGTTTAATTATTTTGTTATCGGAAAGTCTGATTTTACGGGAACTGAAGTCCACACCAACAGTTGGGTCACACAACTGGGTGAACTTTCCCTCGTTAAAAGTTTGAAGAAGTGACGACTTCCCAACAGTACTATCTCCAATAAGGATAACTCGGAATTGAAAATCGAAATAAGGGGAGACCATATCATACAAGAAAAAAGACAGATCACCCGCGGCGTAGACAACTCTTTCGAAGCACAGAAAGCGACAAGGCAACCAGAGGTTACAAGAGGTTTGACACATAAAAGGTAAAATAGTCAAGTGTACCATGAAGTCCACTTGGTTTCTTTGTGGATGCATGCACGGGCCATTTTTTACAGTGAACAATAATTGACGTGGGCTTTATTTTGAAGGCATGTTATCCAGTAAATACCTCCACACTATCACTTCCCGGCAAGTAATGAGTGTTTGATTATTTATATCTTAGTTTTGCTGACTTTCTTGCGCTCCTCACGGATCTTTAACGTTTCTGTCGTTAAATTTATATTTCTTTTCATGGTGGGTGTCAAATTCTTCAGAAAACTAACTGTACACACTGAGTGGCGCACAAAGCAAAAGTTAAGGATTCATAGAAAAAAAAGAGGACAGTAAAGGACCAAAAGATATTGCAAGTATTGAGACCCAGTTTCTCTTACAAAAGCAGCCGAATACACAGGGTGGTCACTAAAAGCCGCGTTTTTCGTCTGATAGTGCCAAATGAGACAACAATCATACATAAGCCGACGTATTCGTTATAACATCAAAAGCGAAATTATACCTATTATATCACGTCGAAGTTTATGGATTCTCAGCAAGCTAACTGTAGTAGTATGGCCAGCGACGGCACCTCTTTGGAAGATAAGTCCGGTGAGTTGTCCTTCGTATCCAGAACCTGTGCTCGCTCTACCTTCGCCTCCAGCCAACGACCAGCAAAGCGTGCAAAAAGCGTAAATACCGCAAAAAGTGTGAGGTACGAAGACGAGCCTTGTGGTGGGTGCGCAGATATTCAAATCAAAGTAGAACAACTGGAAAAGGAGCTTGCTGATTTAAGGACGCTCGTGAAACAGACCCTAGTCGGCCAGAACGTGTCCAGTGTTAGAATCCCAAAAGCGAAGAGCAAAACGCAAAAAACGCGAAAAAATATCTCCTCGGGGGAATCTTCAAACACGAGTAGCAACTCAACAGCCAAAACCGCAGACTCCGGTAACAGCAGGACAATGAAAACGAAACCGCCGATAAAGGGAGACTCGATTCCCACGCACGATGTCTTAAGCGATGTCGCAAAAAAATTGCCTGTCGCGGAAGCCATCTCACCTAAGCCTCTTGCTGTAAGTGATGGGATTTCTGTTT